TTACTCAAGAAGTGATAGATAATCTGAATCTCTCTCTCTCTCTCTCTCTCTCTCTGTGTGTGTGTATCTATATCTATATATGAAGACCTTATATTTTTAGTTAAAAACCTTGCCACAAAGAAAACCCCAAGCCAGTGGTTTCATTGGTGAATTTTGTTACTCAATAAAGGAAGAAATAATACAGATTTTACACAAACTCTTCCAAAAAGTACAAGAAGGAACAGCATTTCCCAACTCATTGTCTGATACCAAAACCAGAGAAAGATATAAGAAAAGGAAATTGGGCCAGGCGCGCCTGTAATCCCAGCACTTTGGGAGGCCGACGCGGATGGATCACGAGGTCAAAAAATCGAGACCATCCTGGTCAACATGGTGAAACCCCGTCTCTACTAAAAATACAAAAAATTAGCTGGGCACAGTGGCGCGTGCCTGTAATCCCAGCTACTCAGGAGGCTGAGGCAGGAGAATTGTCTGAACCCAGGAGGCGGAGGTAGCGGTGAGCCAAGATCGTGCCATTGCACTCCAGTCTGGGTAAACAAGAGAGAAACTCCGTCTCAAAAGAAAAAAAAGAAAAGGAAATTATCATCTCATATCTTTCATAAACTTTGCTGTAAAATATAGAAAAATTTTAAGACCAGCAACATATAGAAAGAATAATACTTAATGACTAAGTGGGGATTATTCTGGGAATGTAAGATGCTTTTAACATTTGAAATTTGATCGATGTTATTCCCCACTTTAACAGGCCAAAATAGAAAAATCAGGTGGTCATAATTATCTTAGTAGATGCAACAAAAAGTATTTGACAAAATCCAATATCCATTCATGATCTAAAGCTGTCAGCATATTAGGAGTAAAAGGAAACTTCCTCAGCCTGAGGGAATCTACAAAAACCTGGAAAAGTGACAGCTTTCATCCTAATATTGGAAACAAGGCAAGGATTTCTGCTGTAACCCCTCTATTCAACATTGTACTGGAGATCCTAGATAATACAAAATGCATAAGATGTAAATAAAATACATAAAGATTGACAAGAAGTACAACTGTCTTTATTCAAAAGTAACATAATTATTTCCTGTGTTAAAGGATGTAAAGTTAAAAGCATATACACAGAAGCCACCATAGCAGTTGATCAGTGTTGCAGGGTACAGGGTCAGTATAGAAAAATCAATGTTGATTAAGAATTCACAAGGAGAAATTGATATAAAAAATAACGGTACAATTGTACCAAGAATGAAATTTGTAAAGATGGGATTTAAAAATTATGTAGAAGACCTATACATTTGAAACTGCAGATCCTTTATTCTTTAATTAGGGAAATAAAGGAGACCTAAATAAATGAAGAGTTATATTGTATTCCTGGACAGAGAGACTAAATATTGTTATCGGTTCTTCCCCAGTTGGTCTATGTATGGATTTAACGCTGTTCCAAACAGAATGTCATCATGCTTTTTTATAGACATTGACATTTCTTCTGCAGCTTCCTTACCTCTCTCAGCCTTCATAGAATTGAAGAGAGGTAGGTAGGGTCTTACTCTAAATTAGGCTTTGGCTTGAGGAAATGTGGCTGGTTTGATTTTCTGAACAGACCACTCACATTTTCTTCATGTCAGCAATAAAACTGTTTCACTTTATTGTCATTCATGTAGTCAGTGGAGTAGCACTTTTAATTTTCTTCAAGAACTTTCCTTTGCATTTACAAATTGGATAACTGTTTGGAACAAGAGGCCTAGCTATCAGCCTATCTTGGCTTTCAAAATGCCTTCACTAAGCTTAATCATCTCCAACTTTTGAGTTAAAATGAGAGACACCTGACTCTTTCTTTCACTTGAACACTTAGGTGGCCATTGTAGGGTTATTAATTGGCCTAATTTCAATTTAGTTGTGCTTTGGAATAGCAAGGTCCAAGGAGAGGGGGATGACCAGTTGCCAGAACAGCCAGAACACACACATTTATTAAGTTTGCTGTTTTATATGTAATTGTTTCAAAACAATTATAATCATGACATGAAAGATCACTGATCATAGAGCAACATAACTGATAACAGTAATGAAAACGTTTGAAATCTTGCAAGAATTACAAAATATGACACAGAGACATCAATTATTGGGAAAATGGCACCAATAATTCCCAGATATTATTGGGAAAATGGCACCAATATACTTACTTAATGCTGGGTTGCCTCAAACTGTCAATTTGTAAAAATCTGCAAAGAGCAATAAGGTAAAGCACAATAAAATGTGATATGCCTGCATCTAGAATATGTTAAAAATCATTATGATTCCATAACAAGAAGACAATCTAATTAAAAAATTAAATTCATACAAACAGTAGGTGAGTAAGCCTAAGGAAAGATACTCAGTAACATTAATCATTAGCGAAATTATATTAAAATCACAACAAGCTACCACTACACACCCACTTCAGATAAAGTTTAAGAGATTGGCAAGGCCAGGTGTTGCTGAGGATTAGAGCCACTGAAACTCTCATATGCTGCTGGTGGGAATGTAAAATGGTATAACAATTTGGAAAAGGAGTTTGTCAGTTTTTGTAAAAGTTAAACATGGCTGGGCACAGTGGCTCACACCTGTAATCCCGGCAACTTTGGGAGAATTTTATAAGATGAAAAGTTCTGGAGATTGGTTGTACAACACTGTGAATATATTTAACACTACTGAAGTCTGTACTTTAAAATGTCTAAAATGGTAAATGTAATGTGAATTTTTTAACAATTAAAAAAAATCCCAAAACCCAAAATGTTTTATGTTCTAGGAACAGTATTATGTCTCAGTCCTGGGCAAAGTGAGAGAAGATGTAGCCTTATTGAGACCTGTAACTTTAAACATAGATATTCCTTAAAAGGTAAATCTTTTTGAACAGATGACGATAAACCTGGAGGGTAAATTTAGAATATAGATATTTTTGCATTTCTTCTTCATATTCTGAGGGAATTTTAAGTAGGTGGCCCAACAAAATGCTCTTGAAGCAAAATCGGAAACAAAAAATCCCATGTGCTACAAAAGTAACTAATCTGGGTTTCTTCAGGGACCAGAATACCATGCAAATACTGGCTTTGAAAATAACATAATAAAGGTTATCTCCAACAGGAAAATACAACTGGGTCAGGTTTATTATTAGGTATACTGCAGTCCTTTTTTCACTGGGACCTCTGTGTTGCCTGTAGAGTAGAAAAGGTCCAATGTCTAAAAGAACTCTACTGTAGTAATCAAAAGAGCAAGTCATGAAGAAGTGTAACTGGGAAATCAGTACACACCCTTACTGGCTAGCAGGCAAGCAAATAAAAATGGACATAAATTTAAAGTACTAAAAAGATTACTGTTAAAGTTCAAAACTTTCAGATTTGGGCACTTTACAGTTACTTACACATTCCTAATGGAATTTTAAATTGGTTTAGTAATTTGAAGAATTTTTTCACAGTCTTTGAACCTTTGATTCTACATTAAGAATTATATTTAAGGAAAGAACAGAAATATATTCAAAATTATTTTACATTCACATTGATAATTTAGTATTTAATGTTCATTAGGTTGTTTAGTCAAAATACATGAAATTTACTTTTTAAAAAAATTAAGGACAGTAATTATTATTCTAAACTACATCAGAAAATGGAAAGTTGATTTGTAGTAGCATGAAAGAGGGGAGGGAGTATGCTATATGACAAGTAAAGATTCTCTTTGTCAGTTAGCTATGAGATGCAAAATAGCATCTACTCACTAAAGAATTTTTGTACTTTGCAGAATATCTTTGCTATTTAGTTGACCCTTGGTTCTCAGAAAATCAGTGGCTTGTAATTTGACCTTTTGCTCTACTGTGTTTTCTTTTTTATAATCTGCTTGACTTTAATGAGTATTTTTCCAATGTTTCATTTGTTTTTGCAAGGTATTTTGCCATCCTTTATTTCCATGATGTGATTCTTCATGCCAAGAAGAAAAACATGTGTCTGTAGTTAAAATGACCTCATCTTTGGTGTTTTTCAGCCTAGGATCACTATATGTAACTAATGCTATTACATCACAAGTAAGACAAGTTCCAATACTTTTTTTTTCCCCTTGATCTGCAGAGATTCACCAATAGCAAATTACAGACTGGCTTGGAAAGCAACCCACGTTCAGTTTGATCTTGGCAGTATAATGGTATATTCCTTTACAGCATTATTTAGATGTTTTATATTGCTTTTTCTTCCTTATGTATTTGTAAGTTCATCAGCTCTGTGATGAACTTACAGAGAACTCAATACTCTCTATAGTACCCCAGCACCCAATTATACATGGGATGTGTGCACAAAACATTTTTATTGAATGGATAAAATGTAACCTCTTTGATTTACTCGGGAAACTAAAATACAGTGTTTTTTAATAAGTACAAATTTTCTGAAACACAGATGAAATTTAACTTCATATGATTCTGCCAAATGTGATAGAATGCATGGTTCCTGCCCAGTGTAGTAATAGTCAAGAGAGCCAGAATACCCCTGAGCTGATTACCAAAGTAGGAAGAAAAAAGAAAAATCACAAACATTTAAATAAATTAAATCAGTTCACACACATCTAAATAATTATGAATTATTTAAATAATTAAAAATCCCTTATTAGCAATGATTGTCATATAGACAACCAAGAGTTTCATGAGTTGTGTTTTCTCTCTTTGTAGGATTTGACTTGGTTGAACACTAACTCTTTTAGGGCTGATTTAATTTTTTATTTGTTCTTTGGTCCTGTGTTAATTTTTATGAGCTTATTATGCACTTAAATTAATTATAGTTTATTTGTCCCAATTATTATATTTGAACTTTTTCTTTTTCCTTGGATGTACTTTATTATGTATTTGATTTCAGTATTGTCACATTAATAAATAATGCTTATTGTTATCACTAGAAATGAAAGTAAAGTTGTGAGTTATATGATGATTAAAAGTATATATGAAAATACATATGATCGCATTAAGATTTACCTCAATTTAATGTTGTTCCCTCTTTCAGCTGTTCTTGAAGACTAATTAGTTACACTGGACATGCTGCTGTTCTTTGCTTTGGGATTGCTTGTACATTTTGTGTTCTTTGCCTCCATCTTTGACATTTATTTTACATCTCCTCTGGTTCATGGAATGACTCCTCAGTTTACACCATTGCCTCCTCCAGCAAGAAGATTAGTGTTGTTTGTTGCTGATGGCCTTCGAGCAGACGCACTTTACGAATTAGATGAAAATGGAAACTCTAGAGCACCGTTTATTAGGTAAGCATGTAAACAGATACAGAGACATCTCTTAAAATGTTATTCTGAGTTAAGTAAACTGCAAAATATCTTACTGCTTATTGCACACTGGGTATGGGGTGATGATGAGAAAGAGAATAGGGCACTTGTCTTATGGGTTAGCACTAGATGCCAGTTTATTTCCTCCTAGGTATTATTTCTACTGTTGTTGAAGCTGATAACCAGTGAATTGAAATGGATGGGCTTAGCTGCTTAAGCTACCTTGTCCTAATTTCCCTAATCTGGCTCAGGACTCACTGCATTATTTTTTTCTTAAAAAAAACTCCTTATTTTATAAAAGAAAAACAAGCATAAATATCAATGAATTACTAATTTCAGTGATGTTTAACTAGAAAATATAGACTTCAAATTAAGACACGATCTTCTATAAAATAGGATAAAGCCCTTCCAAGTTTATATCACTGTTTAATGTAACTTTGGCTTCTATTAAGTGGCATTTCAACTACAGAAAAGTTGAAAGGACTATATGATAAAAAGAAATATTTAATTTCTTGGACTTACAAGGTGCCTACAAACAATTGCTCTTTTTCTGATTAGAGGCAACTCCTGAAAAGCCTAATGGTGTTGTGGAGAGATCAAAATCAAATTCTAGAGGAAATTTCTCTAAAATATTCTATCTTCCCCCTTCCCCATCTGTCATCATTACCTCCTATCACTTTACTGTGTTTTATTTTTCTTTATAGTATTTAACACAGTGAAAGTTCCATGAGAGCTGGGACTTACCCACTACTTTATCTCTAGTTCCTATAATATAACGGGCAACTAACAAATATTTGTTGACAGCTAGAAGAGTGGATGAACTTGAATGTTGTGTTGAATTTTCAGAAATAAATTTATGATGGCTCAAAGAAATGCATAACATATTGAGGAATAAAAATAAATAAGTGACTCAAGTTAATAGGGGCACATTGAGGGAAAATCAGATCAATCCAAGGTTGAGTACAGTACACAAAAATGTGTAACAAATTTCTATCAATAATTAAAATATTTGGGTGAATTTCTTCGTTGTCAAAGAAAAGAGAGAAATAGACTTCATTTCAAAATTAAGAGGATAAAAATATATGGGTTTCAATTTCTTCCTGGTTTAGTCTTGGGAGGGTGCAAGTATCCAGGAATTTATCCATTTCTTCCTGGGTTATGTGCACAGTAATCTCTGATGGTAGATTGTATTTCTGTGGAATCAGTGGTGATATTCTCCTTTATAATTTTTTATTACATCTATTTGAATTTTCTCTCTTTTCTTTTTTATTATCTATTTTGTTGATCTTTTAAAAAAAAAAACCACCTCTTGGATGTATTGATTTTTTTTTAAGGCTTTTTGTGTATCTGTCTCCTTCAGTTCTGCTCTGATCTTAGTTATTTCTTGTCTTCTGCTAGCTTTTGAGTTTTTTTGATCTTGTTCCTTTAGCTCTTTCAATGTTGACAATAGGGTGTTGACTTTAGATCTTTCCTTGCTTCTCATGTGGGAATTTATTGCTATAAATTTCCCTCTAGACAGTGCTTTAAATGTGTCCCAGAGATTCTGGTACGTTGTGTCTTTGTTCTTGTTGGTTTTGAAGAACATCTTTATTTCTGCCTTCATTTCATTGTTTAACCAGTTGACATTCAGGAGCCAGTTGTTCAGTTTCCATGAAGTTGTGTGGTTCTGAGTTAGTTTCTTAATCCTGAGTTCAAATTTGATAGCACTGTGGTCTGAGAGACAGTTATGATTTCCATTCTTTTGCATTTGCGCAGTGATTTACTTCCAGTTATGTGGTCAGTTTTAGAGTAGGTACAATGTGGTGCTGAGAAGAATGTGTATTCTGTAGATTTGGGGTGGAGAGTTCTGTAGATGTCTAATAGGTCCGCTTGGTCCAGATCTGATTTCAAGTCCTGGATATCCTTGTTAATTTTGTCTTGTTGATTTGTCTAATATTGACAGTGGAGTGTTAAAGTCTCCCACTTTTATTGTGTGGGAATCTAAATCTCTTTGTAGGTCGTTAAGAACTTGCTTTATGTATCTGGGTGCTCCTGTATTGGGTGCGTATATATTTAGGATTGTTAGCTCTTCTTGTTGCATTGATCGTTTTACCATTATGTAATACCCTTCTTTGTCTCTTTTGATCTTTGTTGGTTTAAAGTCCACCTTATCAGAGACTAAGCTTGCAATTCCTGCTTTTTTTTGCTCTCCATTTGCTTGGTAAATCTTCCTCTATCCCTTTATTTTGGGCCTCTCTGTGTCCTTGCATGTGAAGTGGGTTTCCTGAATATAGCACACCGATGGGTCTTGACTTTTTATCCAATTTGCCAGTCTGTGTCTTTTGATTGGGGCATTAGCCCATTTACATTTAAAGTTAATGTTGTTATATGTGAATTTGATCCTACCATTTTGATGCTAGCTGGTTGTTTTGCCCATTAGTTGATGCAGTTTCTTCATTGTGTTGACAGTCTTTACGATTTGGTATGTTTTTGGAGTGACTGGTACTGGTTGTTCCTTACATGTTTAGTGGTTCTTTCAGGAGCTCTTATTAGGCAGGCCTGGTGGTGACTAAATCTCTCAGCATTTGCTTGTCCATTAAGGATTTTATTTCTCCTTCGCTTAAGAAACTTAGTTTGGCTGGATATGAAATTCTAGTTTGAAAGTTATTTTCTTTGAGAATGTTGAATATTGGCCCCTACTTTCTTCTGGCTTGTAGGGTTTCTGCTGAGAGATCTGCTGTGAGTCTGATGGGTTTCCTTTTTTGGGTAACCTGACCTTTCTGTCTGGCTGCCCTTAGCGTTTTTCCTTCATTTCAACCCTAGTGAATCTGATGATTATGTACCTTTGGGTTGCTCTTCTTGAGAAATATATTTGTGGTGTTCACTGTATTTCCTAGACTTGGATGTTGGCCTGCCTTCCTAGATTGGGGAAGTTTTCCTGGATAATATCCCGGAGAGTGTTTTCCAGCTTGAATTCATCTCCCCGTCACATTCAGGTACACCTATCAAATGTAGATTAGGTCTTTTCACATAATCCCATATTTCTTAGAGGCTTTGTTCATTTCTTTTCACTCTTTTTTTCTCTAATCTTGCCTTCTCCTTTTATTTCATTGAGTTGATCTTTAATCTCTGATATCCTTTCTTCTGCTTTGTCAATTCGGCTATTGAAACTTGTGTATGCTTCATGAAGTTCTCATGTTGTGTTTTTCAGCTCCATCAAGTCGTTTATGTTCTTCTCTAAGCTGGTTATTCTAGTTAGCATTTTGTCTAGCCTTTTTTCAGCGTTCTTCATTTCTTTGCATTGGGTTAGAACATGTTATTTTAGCTCAGAGAAGTTTGTCAATTACCCACCTTCTGAAGCCTTTTTCTGTCAGTTCATCAGATTCATTCTCCATCCAGCTTTGTTCCCTTGCTGTTGAGGTGTTCTGGTTTTTGGTGTTTTCATCCTTTTTGTGCTGGTTTCTTCCCATCTTTGTGGATTTATCTACCTGTGGTCTTTGTAGTTGGTGACTTTTGGATGCGGTCTCTGAGTAGACATCCGGTTTGTTGATGATGAAGTTATTTCTTTCTGTTTCTTAGTTTTCCTTCTAACAGGCCCCTTTGCTGCAGGACTGCTGGAGGTCCACTCCAGACCCTGCTTGCCTGGGAATCACCTGTGGGGGCTGCAGAATAGCAAGGCTGCTGCCAGTTTCTTCTTCTGTTATCTTTGTCCCAGAAGGATACCTGCCAGGTGTCAGCCAGAGCTCTCCTTTATGAGGTGACTCTTTGGATAGATGGGAGTCAGGGAGCTGCATGAGGAGACAGTCGTTCCTTTATTAGAGCTCAGGTGCTGTGCTGGGAGCTCCGTTGTTCCATTCTGAGCTGCTGGGCAGGTACGTTTAAGTCTGCTGCAGCAGAACTCATAACCACCTTTTTTCCCAGCTACTCTGTCCTGGGAATGTGGGGCTTTATTTAGAAGATCCTGGTGTGCTGCTGCCCTTTTTCAGAGATGCCCTGCCCAGCAAGGAGGTAGTCTAGTCACAGTCTGCCAGCAGAGGTGTTGCTGAGCTGCCACAGGCCCTGCCTAGTTACTCTGTAAACTTCCTTGCAGTTTTGTTTACAGAGGTAAATTTAGAACTGCCTTGGTAGTGGTGGACTGCCTCGGTAATGGCAGACACCCTTCCACCCCCACAGAGCTCGACCATCCCAGGTCCAGCTGCGTTTGGCTGTGAAACTCTCAAATCAGGACCTGTCAGATTGCTGGTCTTTGTGAGATGGGACCTGCCAAGCCAGATCACCTGGCTCCCTGCTTTCGGCCCCCTCTTTTTCAGTTGAATGGGCAGTTCTGTCGTCCAGGTGTTCCAGGAGCTTCCTGAAACAGCCACCCAGATTTGTGTGAGGTTTTGTGTGGAAACCCATGGCGCTGGCTGTTTCTGTGTTGGAAACTCATGGCGCTTTTTGGCCCAGGAATATCCTGGTCTGTTGGCTGTAAAAACTGCGGGAGAGGTGCAGTATCTGAACTGGAGTGCTGGGGTGTATGGAAAAGCCCCTGATGGCCACTGTTGGGAAGTGAGGGGGGTCCTCTGGGATTGTACTTCCTGGGTGAGGCAGTGCCCCACCCTGCCTTGGCTCACCCTTCCTGAGCTACACCACTGTGCCACCAGTCCCATTGAGATGCACCTGGTACCTCATTTGGAAATGCAGAGATAACTCACCTTCTGTGCAGCTCTCACTGGGAACTACACTCCAGAGCTGTTCCTATTCAGCCATCTTGTCTGCCCCTATGCACCTAGTTTTAATTTATTTTTTCTTTAACAGTTTGAAAGCAAGAAACTTTATCCCAAACACTTCAGCCTATGTCTCTTAAGAACAAGGCTTTTCTGCTAAATAGCCACAATACTATCATCACACACCTAATGCAATTTAACATTGATATAATAATATTATGTTTTATCTGTATATAACAAACCATGTCAGTATTTTGTGGTTTAAAACAACAGTCATGCATTTTGTCTGCTGGTTCTGTGCAGTGGTTGAGTGGTTCTTTGTTAGTCTTACATCAGCAGATTCATGCTGCTGCATTCAGCTGGTAGATGGTCAGAATGGGTTCAGCTGGGATTTGAAAGATTCCTTTCCTTCTTAAGTTTCGACTGAACTTTTTGCTCTTGATTCCTTCTGTAATTATTTTATTTTTCTAAAGCTTTATGTGAGAGTATCTAATCACAGTCTGTGTTAACTGTTTGTCTTTAATATCTTTTAGGAATATAATAATGCATGAAGGCAGCTGGGGTGTATCTCATACACGTGTGCCAACAGAATCTCGGCCAGGTCACGTAGCCCTGATAGCTGGGTTTTATGAAGATGTCAGTGCAGTTGCCAAAGGTATTGTCTATTTGGACAATCTTATTAAATGAAAAATTTGTTAAATGTATATTACTGCTTTACCAATGAATTATGTCCCTAAGTGAAAGTATGTTTTGAGATACTTTGGACAAATGTTTTAGCATGCCTTACTGACATGAACACCCACTGGTGTTGAGTCCAGAATGAAGCTTTAAATAACACAGGATAATAAAATACTTCATTATCCTGTGTTATTTAGAGAGTTTGGGTTGGATGGAAACATAATTTTCCTAGATATTACTCTTGAAAGTTCAAAAATGGTATTATGTTTCCGTACGAAGTAAATTATCTATTGTTAGTTTTTTTAAAATAGTGGTATAATATGCATAATGCAAAATCTATTATTGGTTTTGCATTTGTTCTCTGACTAATGTAATTATTATTTGAAGAATACTTCTTTAGGGGCTTATTGTACCATGTATATATTACTGTTATTGCTTTCTTTCTTTCTGAAGGATGGAAGGAAAATCCTGTAGAATTTGATTCTCTTTTTAATGAAAGTAAATACACATGGAGCTGGGGAAGCCCAGATATTCTACCTATGTTTGCCAAAGGTAAGAGTCATTGATTATATTCCTCCGGTAGTAATAGGGAATAAGTCAACATGGTAGTTCTATATATATAACTTACCTTCTCTATTTATTGATTTTTACACATATTTTCACATTTTTAACATTTCTGAAATAGGAATGTTTAATTACAATGAATAGATGTGTTAGTTTAACTGACAATGTTTTTTTCCTTCTTAGTTATACTTGGAATATTGGCACATCATACAGTTAGATAGTATTTTGGATTCAATTAAATGGTATTTGACTCTATCACTTAACAGCTTTATAATCTTGAGCAATTTTGATAACCTCTCTGAGCTTCTCTTCAAGTTCCTTTTTGTAAAATGTGGTAATATTAGTTACTGTCTCAAAGGTTTCTTTTTAGAATTAATTTATATAATTCATGTCAAATATTTAGCACAGCGCTTATCATATAACTTTATTATAATGATGATGTTGATATGTGGTTCATTATACTTTGGTAATCATTTTGAAAGTTAGTAGATATTCATATAAAGATTTAAACATTGGCCAGGCACAGTGGTTCATACCTGTAATCTCAGCACTTTGGGAGGCTGAGGCATGTGGATCACTTGAGCTCAGGAATTTGAGACCAGTCTGGGCAACATGGCGAGACCCCCAGTCTCTACAGCAAACAAAAAATTAGCTGAGCATGGTGTCATGTGCCTGTAGTCCCAAGTACTCAGGTGGCTGAGGTGGAAGGAGTGCTTGAGCCTGGTATGTTGAGGCTGCAGTCAGTGATGATCATGCCACTGCATTCCAGCCTGGGCAACAGAGCAACATTCTGTCTCAAAAAAAAAAAAAAAGATTTAAATGTTAAAATATATGGTTATAATTCCCATATTATTATATTGAATATGCTATATGTTTTGGCATTTGATATATATGGCATTTAACATAATTTATTTAAGTTGAAATTTTATATATTGAATATGGCATTTAGATTTGTTGTTTGTTTATATGCATAATCCTGTAAATATTGGGACATCTCTTAATAAGAAAATTCATTTATATTATTTTCTAAAATCAGTTGGGTGAATTTCATGTCATTAAATGCTTTTAAGTGGGAGAAGAACGATTGATCATTTCACTTATCTGAAAGGATTTGTAACATACTTAGTCATGAGTGTAATTCAATAATGGGAACTGTTAAAGATTATTATGTGTCCAGAAAGCAAAATATAAATTGAGAATTTTACATATCGAAGTCATAGTACATTATTATACTGGGTGGACCAAAAAAACCTCAAACTGTTTGACATTTACATATCACCTTCTTTGGAAAGCAGTTTAGTTTTTTGGGGGGCTGGTAGTGGTAAGGGCGAATTGAGTTGCTATGGCTTATCAAACTAACCTTCCTATTTCTGGCTACAATGGATGGGACAGGACTAATACCTGAATTAGAAATAGTCTAATAGGAATGTTATAGTAACGAACAAAACCAGTCAGACCTTTTTATTTGAGATGTGGGAAATAACATGGCTGAGCAGTGGAATGGGGTCATTAGACCTGAACAGGTGCTATAAAGATTGTATTACTGTATTATATCTCTTTCTTATTACCTGCAAGAACTTATCAAACTCAGAAATTCACTAAACTGATTAGATTCCTAATACAGTCTTGCAAATGTATGAGATTATTATATCTGTTGACCCCTTCAAACTCTTTGGCAATAAGCAATATTTATTCTAAGTTGAGAAAAATATGCATAGTGTATGAATAAGGGAAGTGAAATATTTAGATTTTATTCTTATGTTAAGAAGGTTTGTACACCACACACTTCATTTACGTTAGATTGTAACATTCTAAGGGGCACACATGTTTTGAATAGTTTAATCCTTAAAGGGAGACAAATATTGTGTTTATTTTTGTTCTATTGCTTATTAGAGTTGTGATTTTGGCATGTTAACATATAATGGATCTGCAACATTTAAATATGTTATTTTTGAGGACAAAAGGCATAGAATATATTAAAGTATAAAGCATGGCCCATAACACATAAAATAAATGTTCATTATGCCTCCCATTTTTCTCTTTCCCATCATATAATGCTTTGTGAAAATTCTGGTTATTCGCAGAAATCTGTGAATGAGTAGCTCATATTTTATGATAGTTTAAAAGATTTTGTAAAAAATTGTTTTTTCCAAATTTCCTTTTCAGGTGCTAGTGGAGACCACGTTTATACGTATAGTTATGATTCTAAGAGACAGGATTTTGGTGCTCAAGATGCAACAAAACTGGATACGTGGGTTTTTGATAATGTTAAGGTTTGTGCTATTGAGTGGTTAATATACAAAAAACATATTTTTACCTGAAGTATTCAAGTCTGTATCTCAAGTTTTTTCTGCTTGCATGAGCTTTGAAAGTTCTATATTGTAGCACATTGTTCTGAATTCTAAGACTTAATTCTAAGAAATTATATATTCTAGATAAACAAGAGAAGTTGTAAAATTATTTGTTTCTATTAGTAAGATAAGCCCTAGATTAGGATTCAGGAAACCTGTTTTCATTTGTAGTTTGCGATTCATCATGGGTAAATTTTGATCTTTCATTGACCATGGAATCAGTCTCTTGCAGTAATGGACCATGTGAGATGTGTGAAAGCCTTTGGAAAAATGTTGTTCAAATGTAATACATCAATAACAAAGTGGACGATTTTTTTAAAAGTGATACTTTAAAGAAAAATTAGATAAGTAGATTATATAGGCAAAAACAAATTAGCAAATTAATCAAAATAAAAATCTACGATTTTTTTAAGTACTAGAGTTTCTTGAACATTTTATAGTGACAATTATCTTAGTTTCATCAGGAATACAATAGAATTTATATTCTTAAAAATTGTGTGAAAATCTCAACTGTGGGTATTGGCTTTTACCAGTCCATTGTTCCTCATCTCCAAATAACAACTCATAATTAATCCATTATAAGAAGCTCTCTTTGATTGACAGTTCTTTTTTCTAGCAGTGTGTTTTGAACTGACTTTGTGGACTTCTCCATGATATAGACATTTTTGTTTGTTTGTAAATGTACTTCGCAGTATATATTTGCCCTTTTCTTTGTATTTCCTTACCAGAAATTAAGTGCTCTAAAATTTATTACTAAACCCTATTTTTTTTTAAGGATCTTTTCACTTGAAATTTTCTTTTTACTTTTAATATATACCCTTGTTAACAGGAAAAACTTTCAACTTAAATATCTTTAAGAAAATGATTAGCAAATTAGCATGAAAGCCTTTGGCTTCTAATTTCATATATGTAGCTAAAATCTCTCCAAAATCTTGGAATTAATTCTGTGTGAATGTACATACTTAGATGGTGGCTGGCCTGATTTTCATGTCTTTCTTCCTTTCTGTATTTCAATAATACTAGTCTTGACACGGTAGTGAACATAAAAAAGAATTTGCACATGACTTCTTTGTAAAATATGGTAGAGATATATATTAACCAAGTAATAATGAAAATATGAAATCATCAACAGTGGTAAATAATGTGAAGAAAAAATACAGACCATGAATATATCTTCAGAAAATCCTAATCTAGCCTGGACAGTTATGGGAAGGCTAAGAGTTTTAATCTCTGAAGAGGTATAGGAGACAAAGAAATGGATAGGGATGGATTGATATGGAAAGGTATTGCAGGCCAGCAGCACTATGTGAATCTTGGTCAAGAGCCAACATAATAGATTTGAGAAAGTAAAAGAAGGGAGGTTAGTGTGGTAGGAGGACTGCCTGGGAGCCAGGTCTTAGAGGAGGCTAGAGAGTCAGTTAAGGGTTTTACTTGAACTTCTTGTCCTGGCTAGAGACTCATGCTTAATTCAAGCCAGACAGTTTCTAGATTCATGCAGTTTTCTAACCAATTTTTTTTGTAACTGTGGTAAAAAAATATGCAAAATACAGAATTTACTATCTTAAGCATTATAAGTGTTTGCAGACAGTCCCCAGCTTAACAATATTTAACTTAAGATTTTTTGACTTTCCACCAGTGCAAAAGCAGTACATATTTAGTATAAACTATACACTGAGTATACATACAACCATTTGGTTTTTTGCTTTCAGTATAGTATTCAAACACTACATGAGATAGTAATTGTTATCTCACTTATCCCACATTATCAACACTTTATTAAAAAGTAGGCTTTATGTTAGATGATTTTGCCCAACCATGGGCTAATGTAAATGTTCTGAGCACATTGCAGGTAGTATAAAAGAAAAACAAAATTCTAACCCTCCCCTACCCCAACCATCTCAATGGACTTTCTCAGCCAGGGCGCTTTTAATATATAACCTGAGAGACTAGTTCAGGCCATGAGGGGAAGTGGAGGTCAGATATGCCCTGTTATATCTTTGTGGTATTAACATCAATTTATACCTTAAAGTCTGATAAGAAACATTTTATAGCTTATTCTCTCTGAAGCCTACTACCTGTAGACTTCCTTTGCAAATAAGAACTTTGGTTTCCACAGACTCTTATCTTAACCCAGACATTCATTTCTTTTGATCCCAGGTCTTTAGAGAAACTCAACAAATTGCCAACCAGAAAATGTTTAAATTTCCCCCCCAGTACCAGCTTTGAGTTGTCCTGCCTTTCTGGACCAAACCAGTGTATTTCTTTTTTTTTTTTTTTTTTTTTAATTTTTTATTGGATTATAGGTTTTGGGGTACATGAGCAGAGCATGCAAGACAGTTGCGTAGGTACACACATGGCAGTGTGCTTTGCTTTTCTTCTCCCCTTCACCCACATTTGGCATTTCTCCCCAGGCTATCCCTCCCCACCTCCCCCTCCCACTGGCCCTCCCCTTTTCCCCCCAATAGACCCCAGTGTTTAGTACTCCCCTCCCTGTGTCCATGTGTTCTCATTTTTCATCACCCACCTATGAGTGAGAATATGCGGTGTTTCATTTTCTGTTCTTGTGTATTTCTTAAATGTATTTGTTTGAAGTCTCTTGTCTCCCCAAAATGTATAAAACCAAGCTGTACCCTGACCACCTTGAGCACGTTCTCAGGTTCTCCTGAGGGCTGTGTCATGGGCCATGGTCACTCATATTTGGCTCAGAATAAATCTCTTCAAATACTTTACAAAGTCTGACTCTTTGTAAACAGCAGCCCAGGCTAAGCTGTGATGTTTGGTAGGTGAGGTATGTTACTGGTGGCAGGTATCCGAATTACTGACAACAAATCTGTAAGGGTTAGCAGCAACCTAAATTCTTACCTCCACAGAAGAAAGACTTCGACTGAGGGGCATAAGGCAGAAGAAGAGACCAAGGCAGGAGTGGAAGTTTATTTGCAAAGGTTTTAGAATAAGAAAGAAAGGAAAGTATGCCTAGAAGAGTCCCAGTTGAGCACTGAGGTCAAGTGCGGTGTTTAACCTTGATCCTAGGACTTTATAGGCTGGTCCCTTTCCATAATTCTTCCCTTGGGGGGGGTACCCGCAAGCACAGTGCCATTCTTAACCTTGGGAGGTGAGCGTGCAGAGTGCGTTTAAGAAGTTGTATGCATACCCATCTGAGGCTTTCTTTCCTTTTCTGGTGGAGTACCCGGACGGGCATACCATACCATTTTGTCTCAGTGCACATGCGCAGGAAGTTGCATCTCTGGTGCTTGCGTTCAGTTAACACTTTAGTGCAGCAGGTGTGGGCCGTCAGGAAATGGCCTCTCCCTGATGCCAGCTGCCAGTTTACCACATTTAGAAAGCCAGTCTGATAATTGCTGAATCATCACTCGACATTCTTAGTGGGTTGGGGAAGAGCCCTCTCTTGCCCCACTCATGGCTGTCTACCTGTAACAGGTATATTACATGCATTTTTGACTTACAGTAGTTTCAATTTAGGATGGGTTTGTTGGGATGTAACCCCATTGTAAGTGAGGAGCATCTGTAATTTAGTAGTGTTAAGTATATTCACATTCTTGTGCAACCAATCTATAGAATTTTTTCATCTTGCAAAACTGAAACTCTACACATTAAACAATGACTCTTCCTTTCCCCTTCTCCCAACCCCTGGAAACCACCTTTCTACTTTCTATTTCTATATATTTGACTATTCTAGGCACCTTATATCTTAAGTGGAAGAATACAGTCTATGTCTTTTTAAGACTGGCTTATTTCACTTACTATAATGGCCTCAAAGCTTCACCTGGGTTGAATCTATTCACTTTTAAAAACTCAGTTTGTGCATCATCTTCTCTATTAGGTCTTCTGTGATTTCCCTTTGCTTTATCCTATTTCCATTTCGGCTTAGATAACCCTCCTCTATATTCCCTTAATACTTTATTGTGCTGTGCTATAATTGTTCATACATTGACATATCCCCTTCAGTATACATCTTGGTGGTAGAGATACTGACTTTTTCACACTGTAAACTTCAAACTTCTATCAGAAGCTAGGCGCGGTGGCTCATTCATGCCTGTAATCCCAGCACTTTCGGGAGGCCAAAGTGGGTGGATCTCTTGAGGCCAGGAGTTTGAGACCAGCCTAGCCAACATGGTGAGACCTTGTCTCTACTAAAAATACAAAAAAATTAGCCACGCATGGTGGGACATGCCTGTAATTCCAGCTACTCGGGAAGCTGAGGCATGAGAATCGCTTGAACCCAGGAAGTGGAGGTTGCAGTGAGCTGAGATTGTGCCGTTGCACTCCAGCTTGGGCAATAGATACTCTGTCTCAAAAAACAATAACAATAAAACTGTCAGGGAATTGTCTGGTACATAAATAAGTATATTAACATAGATTAGATCATACCTGTGTAATAGGGGAAAAATGACTTCAAAGTTTACTTCTAGCTTTGTAAAGATAATGCCAGCAGTAGGCAGCAGAATATTGATGCAGTCCAGGATGCTATAGTGGTTCCGAAATGTCACTGACATTCAGTCTCCTAAAGTTTTCCTCTAACCTCAGTGCATAAGTTTTCTCTTCAAGGTTATTGCATGACCCAAGATAATCTTGGAGGTCCAGACCTCATGTTAGTGTTTTAGGTCAACAATATGAAGAATAAAAAAAGACCTTCTCTTCTACTGAATTATATTTATTTCAAAGAGCCTTAGATCCACATAGCTTTATGACTGAAATGTCTGACTTAAATCTCATTGGCCAAAACCACAAAGGCACATCTAGCTGCAATAAAGGATAGAAAATGTTCATTCAAATATGAATGAACAGCACTTTTTACATAGCTGAATATATTGTACCAGTCATGGAACAAATTATAGATGTCATTCAAGTCATTTGCTCAGTTTTTTTGTTTTTGTCAGCTTTCAGTTATGCATTTAAATTGTAATTCTTTTCTCTTAAAGAACTTGTCATTTTTGGGGTTAAGTAGAATGCATATGAAAGTTAGGGGCCAATTTTATACTTTTGAGGAGGAAGAGAGCACATTACATATTATATTTGTTTATTTCTATTCTTGAATAGCTAGTTTCTCTAATTGTACCATTTGTATTTTTTAACATAGTAATGAAGAATTATTTGAAAAAAAATACTTAAATACTTTAGACTTTTGTTGAAAAGTTAAACATCTTTTGTTAAAAGTTTACATCTTCTACAATTAAAGGCATTTATGTGAACAACAAGATGCATCTTGGATAGCCTGTTAACTTATTTAAAATAATTTAAAAGTAGTCTTGATGGTTTTGCATTCATGTTCATGCATATGTGAATACAGGTTGAATCATTTGCCTTAGAAGGGCTTTATGAATCTAGTTTATTATTATTAAATTAACATAATAATTTTCAAATTTTAATTGTTCCCAGCCTCACCCTGCCAAATAGTATTCTATTTTATTAATTGTTTGCTTTTCTGTTACATGATTTGAAGAATACATTCTATTTGGGGCAAAGGAAGTAATTAGGTGGCTGTTTGCAATGTTCTAAGTTAGAGACTAGGTTGTTAGTACACAGGACAATGAGAAGTGGTTCCCTTCTGAAATATTTTAAAATAATAAATCATTCTTAAACTGATAACACCATTACTATTTTATTTTTGGCTCTTGCCAAAATGTCTTCAATCTGCTGTATTTTATTAAGTTAGATATGGGATGAACATTATGAGATCTCTATGAAATTATGACCCCCTTTCTAACCCTTTTTTTTGGCCTTATAATAACCCAGTAAACAGCTAATTCATTATTTGAACATAGATGTCTGAACTAATAGCAAAGACTTTGTGTTGGTAGGTCTTGAGCACAGATTTAAACAATGTGAGATAATTTAATTTTGTACTTATGCATAAATTCAAATGTTTTCATCAGTTTTATTTTTAAAATTAAACAAATAAACTAAATATTTTTAACTCATTTGTTATATGTAGGACTTCTTTCATCATGCCAGAAACAACCAGTCTTTGCTTTCTAAAATAAATGAAGAGAAGATAGTTTTTTTCTTACATTTATTAGGAATAGATACAAATGGACATGCTCATCGACCATCCTCAAGGTAATTTAATGCTGTTTTTAATTGTATTTTTTAAGGGAAACAGCGATTTTATTGAACCTTTAAAGTATTATAATGTTTTCTTTGGGCAGAGCTAATATTTTAAATAAATTACTGTAATGTATAATAAGTTCTCAATTATATGAGATTTCTGATATAGTAGTTAAAATCATATGTGCTGTATCCAGATGGCACATTAATATAAGTAAAATATATCCTGTATATCCTGTTCCATAATCTTCATTTACTGAAGCAGAGAAAATTTTTTGTTATCTAAAATAGCTATATATTTTAGAAATATTTTCAATGAATCTTGAAATAAAAAGCATTTTGTGGAATTAATTTTTATATTACCAAAGTATGTAATTAGCTATTCCTTGTGCATCCCCTTTAATTAATATTGTATCTAGCAAATAAATTGTATAAATTTTTGTATAGCATAATTCAGTAATACTCCTTATATGTAAAACAGCAAGTATTTTTCTTACTTTTGAAGACCATAAGTAAAAGGAAGGTACCATGTTGTACTCTCATTTCTTATTTTGCATTTGGTTTAGATTAGCCTAACAGTAGCTGCAAAGCCTGTTGGGTTAACTGCCAGTAATGAATACCTCACAATCCCCTTCTTAAATGTGATGCACTGTTGTAATTGATGGAATATTTGTGTTGAAAGAACCTTGTTCAGTTGTATGGCAGTCTTAAATATAATGTGTTCAAAATGTGACATGACATTATTATGTTTTATATCACAAACACTTTAGGGAATGAAAATATTCTGCACTTGATATGCTTCCTTTAATGTGGCCAGAACAGTATAGTTTATGTAGTGAGAGGAGAGACATGAAAGTCATCTATCTCATTTAGGACCTAAAAAAGGGTTTTTTAAAATACATTTGTTAATCAGTCCCCTCCTTTTAAACCATCTTTGAAAACGATTTCAGGTTCTTTTGCTTCATTAAAAGTAGAAAAAAATTATTTCAACAATCTAGAATGCTCTGATTTTAAAACATAAAAGATGAAATCTAAAAGCGTTTCAGAAGTTAACTGATTTTGAACGTAATGAGTCCGTGTTAAATAAATTTGATCTTTCCAAATTTAATTTTTTCTTTTGTTTTCTTTATAAATAGGGACTACAAGGACAATATTAAAAAAGTTGATGATGGAGTCAAAGAAATCGTTTCTATGTTTAACCATTTCTATGGAAATGATGGGAAAACAACATTTATCTTTACCTCTGACCATGGAATGACAGACTGGGGTTAGTGTGTCTTTAATTGATATATATCTTACTATTAAAATAGTGATAAATGTAGCTTGCAAATATTTTATGATAATGAGAAAATTAGGTGATTTGCTATATACAAAGTGTCTACCACATAATTATGTCCTTAAAATGTTAGCCTAAAAAACAACTTATCTTATATGAAAATATTTTCTCTAACTAAAAGCGAATATATTCTCATTTACAGATGAGAATAGAGAAAAATGGAGAAGTAAATAAAAAGTGACTATTATTTACCTACCAAGAATTAACTGCATATGATGGCAAAGGGACTAAAGTTTAGATGGTATTACTGAGGGACCAAGGGCTGCTAGAATTCTGTCCAGATAAACCTGTGCACCCTGTGAGATTCCCAAGGCAAATGCAGTATGTGCACAGAGAACAAAATAAAGCAAACACGAGATTTGTCCCCAAATCACAATATGGATTTCTAGCAAGTTGAGTTCCACTTTATAAAGGACTTCTTTTGGCTCCACCTGCTAGAGTGGTCTGGAAGAAAATGACCCAGAGACCTTGCCATCCTCTCCAGAACAGACTTAGTCTATACTGCTTGCCCCAAGCTTGGGTGGTCACTGCCCAAAGGAGCTCTCTGTTCTTTCTGTCTGCAGTGCTACTCTGGTAGCAGCAACATTTCTTCCATGTCTTGTTGTTGTTTCATTCTTTTAACCATAGTTACTCAGCAGGCATTCTGGTTTTTTGTTTTAGTTTTTGCCAGTTTGTTGTTGTTGCTCTAACTTGCTTTATAGGAATATTGTCAAACTAATTGTCATAAAAGATTGTAACCATTTGGTAATGTAGTGATTAGAATTAACTATATATGGACCAACTCTTTAAAACAAACTATTTTTAAGAATATGTAGTTGTAAGTTAGTTCTTCTATATTTGTCTTATTATTGTCGGTATCTTGTTTGTAGGTTCCCATGGGGCTGGTCATCCTTCAGAGACTTTAACTCCTTTAGTCACTTGGGGAGCTGGAATCAAGTATCCCCAAAGAGTATCAGCTCAGCAATTTGATGACACATTTTTGAAAGGTACAAACATTTCTTTACTGTGTTTATAAATACAACCTCTTAATATAAGAACAAAATTTAATTTTTTAAGAAATCACTTTTCAAATTTTAGTTGTAAATCTCTCATTTTCACGTTTGTGCCATTACTATATCAATGCAAACACTACAAGGGGTTGCTGGTTTTTCTCTTCTCACAGAGCCATATGTTGAACCCTTCCCAGCACACCACTGCTAGTAACTAGACCTTTCTAAATGTCTAAACTGATCAACTGAACTTTCCATGTTCTTTTATTAATTTATTAATTAATTTGAATGCGAGGTAGAGTAAATAAAAATTAAATAAAAGGAAATGTAAGGTTTCTTTGAAGTAAGTAATAAATTTGATTGAGATTTTTCAACCCAAGCAAAGTCCATATGATCAGTTATAAAATCACAGTACCTACAAGATATATCCATTAGATAAAAAGCAAGAGGTAGTATTGAGATACTTCAACCCTAGACCCTAATGAAGACAGAAGAACACAGTGAATAATGCACTGAATAGCGTGTGTGCAGTAAGTAATAGTGCATTTTTCAGAGGGTGATTTCTCATATGTTTGTCAGTACTAATGGAGAGCATCATGCCAAATCACAGGTCTACAGAGGAGTCATTGACAAAGGGCCAGAACAGTGCAACCAGTTCATGGTCATGATTGTTTCCAGATTTATTTAAGCATGAAAGAAAAAGAAGCTAGAAAACCCTTTTGTTCATCTACTACATATCTTTGAGATAGCCCTTGCTTTCTCAGAACTTACAATTCTAGTAGGAGAATTAAAGCAATTACAAACAAAGCTTACAGATTATGATAATTTTATGAAGAATATTAGGATGATGCGAGAGAAAAGGAGGTAGGACCAGTCTCCCTTCTCCACCCTGCCCCGCTCAGTTTTCTTAGGCACAGGTTCTTGCTGTGTCTCTAAAGGAAAGGAATGGACTTGAAATGTAGTAGCTATTCACAGGTTCACAGGCCAGTCATAGCTCACTATAGCCTGGAACTCCTGGGCTCAAGAATCTTCCTGCCTCAGTCTCCTGAGTAGCTGGAACCACAGGTGTGAACCTGACTAGTCCCCCACATTTTTATTAAGACACTTGGCAAAGGAGGCAAAATGCATTAGTTTTAAATGTATAATTATGAATTTTACATGCATATATATACCATGTAATCTCCACCCAGATTTGCCATATATTTGTAGTACCCTAGAAGTTTCCCTAATGGAGTAGGATACATTTTATAGAGTGGGCTAATAGTACATCTGCTCACAGTTAGGATAAGAGGGAGCCATTCATACGAAGGTTAGGGCAGGAACATTCCAGGCAGAGGGAATAGCAAATGCAGAGGCAAGAAATAGAAAGAGCTTAGCTTGTTCGAGGAACAGAATTGGAAGGCTAATATGGCTGGGCACTGTCAGCTAGGAGCAGAGTACAATGAGTTGAGAGGTTGGAGAGTTAAACAAGAGGTAGATCGTTTGAGGCACCAAAGCCTGGGTAAGGAGAGCATGAAGTGTGTTCTGAGGGCAGTGCTCTATTGTTAAAGACTGTTAGGCAGAGCGCTGCCAGCATTCCTTTGCCATATGAGCTACAGAACTTCTAACTGCTCTGTGATAAATGGATGAGATTGGATCAAAATAGAAAGTAGGGTATGTTTGAACTTAGGAGAAAATAGTATGTTTGTACTTACAAGATTTAACTTTATTTTGGCATTTGATTTCTTAAATTGATATTTTAGCATCACATGATTTTTAAGAATCATCACAGAAGAAATGTATTTTTTCTCATGAGTATTAAATAGCATAGATTTTAGAGAAAGGGAATATGAATTTTTTCATCAACTGAGTAGTGTGAATTTTTGGCAGCTGACTGATAGAGTCAGAAACATATTTTTAAACTTTAATTAGCTTATTGAATGAAATTTTATCATAAAAATATCTTATAACTCTTTTGGTAGTACATCCCAAAGCTGTTAAATCAAGACTTGGTCTCCCATAATCATTTGTTTTGATTTCTGTTTAATGCAGTTTCTGAATTTATGTATACAAAGATGGAAGAATGAGGCTCTCTTTAAAGGCAGTCTTAATAATAACTCAGTATACTCTGTTAACATTTGTGATTAGCACCTACAGAAACATCACAACTACAGTTTTAAGTGTTTTGGAAGCAACTGCCATTACAGAAAAAAAAGAGAAGCTTGAATTAATTAACTTCCTATTGCCTTAATAACTCTCTAGAACAGGATTGTAATGAGTTGTCAATGCTGACAGTTGTTACCGTTGTGCTTTTTTACTTCCATCTTTCCTTCCATAGCCTCTGATGTTTTTGAAACAATTATCTCCAAATGAGCGTTTAAAAAGCTTAATAAATCATCATAGGAAACACTAAATATTTACTTTTTGGTTGTTTTTAAGAAAATTCTTTAAAAAAATACACCTTTGCCTTCAAGCATGATTTTTATTCATTGGCTTAAAATAGACATTTTTACTACCTATGTTTTCCATAAATATTGGCCACTCCTAAAAATAAAATGATTTACTCTTTTTTACATCTTAACATCAAATCTTGTGTCTGATTATGTTTTTCAGAGTGGAGATTGGAGAACTGGAAGAGGCTAGATGTCAATCAGGTATCATTTTCAATTTAATTACATACAAATTAAATTTTGTCTTTTATAAGAGGTTTAGACAAAAACTATGAAAGATAGATAATATTGACAAAGTCTTTTTCAAAATACTTTGGTTACTAAAGGGAATTCTTTTAGCACAAATATTTTAGCCCAACTAATCTCTCTTCTGGCAAAATAAACAAAACTTCAAGTGAAAATAAAAGACTTCTTGTAAATAACACTGGATACTTATTTGTTATGTAAATTGAAATTCGCATGCCTGTTAAATTTCTGTGGTTGCTTACCATGGTTATATTGCTTACTTTAAGCACAGATCTATTAAAGCTCCTGTTACGGGTTTATTTTCTACAGTACGTCAGTTATCTTTTCTTCTTTGTTAACACATATTTTACCTTTGCTTCTACCCAGAAGCCTTACAAATGCAACGTGACATGATCTGTTTTTTTGTGGGTAAAGAAGTGATGAGAGTATAAATTACTCAGCTAGAAACCTTCTGTAGAGGAAAATGTATAGCCAATTTGATAAAGTTAGACTAGTAGCATTGTATGTAAATATGAAGCACAGAACTGTCATCCTCAGTACTTGTGGAAGGTATAGCATCATCTGAATATGGCTTCCAAAGTGGCAGGAGTATCTTGCCTTCCCCGTCACCACACAAGCTAAGATTCCTTACTGTGGTGGACAAACCAAGGTCTAGAGTCTCACTTCAGGCCTATGGTTACAGAAACTTTTTTCTTCTCAGCATAATAAGAATAATCTTCTCCCAGGATAGATGCATATTACCCAAGTAAATGAACATGAACTTATAAAGTCAGAATAGCAATTTATTAATTTGCAATTAAAAATCACTGTCAAAGAAACAGGAATGACTTGAAGATCACAAAACAAGAACATCTCTTATTCATAGCCACACCAGATCATAATCAGCAATTGAACGTTGATTCAGTTACTGTTCTCTGCACTGTCAGTCTGTTGGCAAACACTCCTGCTTCATCTGCATCAAATGCGAATCTCTTCTGTTCCTTCCTTCTACTAACACAGTGATGTGTCTGTGGTGTGTTTCACCTCTGTACTAAGCGTAAAGATTTAGTGGTGAGTAAAGGCAGACATAATCCCTGTCCTGGGAAGTTTCTATTTTAGGGGTAGGAACAGATACTAATCAGTCTATTATACAAATCCATGTAAACTTGTAGCTATGGTAAGTACTACAAAAGAGATTTGTGCAGCCATACAGTGGATATATGTGGTAGACTGCGGTCAACAAAGCTTTCCTGAAAAGTTGAGGATTGAACTGAGATTGATGAATTAGCAGGCCAAGGCAGTAGGAGGAGGGCTTTTCAGGTAGAGGAAGCATGTGCACCAAGTTCTGGTGAGAGGGTACATGGTATATTAAAGGAAATGAAGAAAGCTGTTATACAGCAACAGAAACCATGGGGTGGTGTGAGGCAGAAGTGGGACACAGACCCTTCAGGGTCTAATGGGCCTTGTGAACTGAATTCTGAAAGCTTGAAGAATCCTTGAAGAGTTTGAAGCCTAGAGAGTGACACAATCTGGTTTTTTGTGTGTGAAAGAATCCCCTGGCTGGAGAACAGGTAAGAGGTGGCCAACAGTGGATTCTGAGGGAAAGGGAAAAGGTGACTAGGAGGACTTTGGAGACTTCCAGTTTTCTGGAGGGTGGTACTTGATAATGATGGTCTGAATAGTAGCAAGTGAGAATGATTGAGAGCCTGGGAACAAACTTGATGAATTCTGACTTTAAGTGAGTGACTAGAGAAGGTATCTGAAAAGGAGGAGCCAGTGAAATCAAGGTAACTCAGTTGTGGGGTGTTGAGTCCAAGAAAGGAGTGGCCTATGCCATATTGCTGAGAGGTCTAGGAATGCCAGCAACAATTGTAGCTACCATCATCACAGGCTTATTATGTGCCAGGTACTTAATAAGTTTTATCTCATTTAATCCGGGCATAACTCTGGAAGGGAAAAACTTGTATTTGTTTTTTTAACTGATAAAAAAATTGAACAATTGGAGGGTTAAAAAACCTGCCTGAGAATTTGAAACTGGGCATTCTGAATTCCAAGCACTTTATTGCCTGAAAAATTATAAGGACTAATATAAACATAGTCACTTAGATTTAGAAAATGGGCCTGTTAGCTCTCTTAGAGAGAGCAGTCTGTGGAATGATAAAGGGTCAAAGTCAGTTACAGTGGACAGAGGAGTGATGGGTAGATGAGGAAGTGAAGACAGAAAAAGCATGAACAACTCTTCAGAGAAATTGAACTTGAAGGGGAGATATCCAAAATGGGATTTTGGATCTTTCGACTAGAGTCTCTTCTGTGGTTTGTGTCTTTTCTGGACATCACTGGCTGGTGAAACCTTCTGATAGATACTTTGTTTTTCTAGTTAATATGTACATTTCTCCAGTTAAAGTCTACTCTTGATATTCATTTTATATCTAGATAAGGCATCCTTTGTATAACACTGCAAAAGTGTTACATAAAGTGGTCAGATTCTTAGGTAATAGGGTAAGTATTTTTTTGTTTTACTTAGGGCTTTTAGTAGTTTCTTTTCAAAATTTTTCTTTATAGGTTCATATACCTCTAGCAAATGACACTTTCAGAGATTAATATCTTTTTGGATTAAATAAATGTTTGAAGGTAACTTATTATAACAAATATTATGGTTATATTCCAAAATATGGTTGCATTAAATTATTTAATTTCTTTGTTGATGTCTATAGACCTCTTAAAATTGAGCTTCTTATTTGTAGGCTGATATTGCACCATTGATGTCTTCCCTTATTGGAGTTCCCTTTCCTCTTAATTCAGTGGTAAGGAATAAAATTTTATTATCAACTCTCAGTATATTTACATTTAGCACATTAAAGTGTTCTCTTTTTTATGTGTTTCTGAATTATTTTATTTGTTTTTGAGGTGGGTTCTTGCTATGTTGCCTAGGCTGGTCTTGAACTTCTGCACTCAAGCAGTCCTCCCATCTCAGCCTCCCAAGTGGGTGGGATTATAAGCATTTACCACTGCTTCCAGCTTATATGATCTTTGATTATATTTAAAACTATATATTCCTGTATATTTATATCTAAATATGCACTACCTCATAATTGCTTGTGTATTATATTTTATAAAAAGGAACATGAGCCAAATAGCTTTTCTTTAAATATTTTAATTTTCTAAAATGTGTATAATTTATATTTTTGTATTCTGATTATAAGTGATAGAAATATATAGTAATTTTTTTTATTACAAGCAGCAAAAACTGAGTTCGTTTAAAGGGAAATTATTGAAAAGACATTAGTGATTTGCTGAAACAAAGTGGTGCTTGAAAACCAGGCTTGGAAATAATCAGGAACCAGGAGATCTGAAGACTTGAAAGAAGGAACCACAGCCATGATCCCATGACAGAGCTGTTCTCAGGGCAGTGACATGAGGTTAGAGTAGCATTGTTCCTTAGTTTCTGGCCCTTGACTGTCAATGGCCAGTCAAGTTTTTTTTTTTTTTTTTTTTTTTTTATCTGAGAGATAATATTCCTGAATAATCGTAGAGTAAAATAAAATAAAAAAGTTACATTGTAAGGTATAAAAAGCCTGGGCAAGATGCTCCAGGGGCCTTGGCCAGAGGCCGGCAGACCCCACCCCGCCAAGTGCCCCATGGTGACCACAGACGCAGCGGCCCCTGCTGGGACAGTATCTCCATGGCAGGGGGGGGCACTCTGCTCCCCACCCCATGTGGGGACAAAGTGTCAGTGTGAGGAAGGGCAGGGGCAGAAGCCCATCAGTGCTGGGGAGGGATCCTCCTGAGTGCACCCCAGCCCACCCTGTCGTCTTTGGCAAATACGCATATGCAGATGCAGGAATCCAGGTGCCCCAAGCCCCAGGTCTCCGTGTGCCTCCTCCTACCTGGCACTCGAGTAGGTGGGGTGGGGCAGGCTGGGGTGGGTGGGTGCAGGGGTCACATCTGGAGAGTGCAGGCAGGCGACACAAAGCCCAATCCTCTTCCCTCCACAGGGCAGCGGGGTGGGGCGGGCACTCCCGGCCAGCCCGCTCATGCGTCGTACTTCTTACCAGTCCGGTGGATGTGCTGGAAGAGGGTCATGGACTGTCAAGAGTCAAATTCCAGATGGTCTAGCCCGGGGTTATAATCAGCAGTCCCTGGATTGTTGTATCTAATGGACAAGATTTCTTAACAGAAAATTGCCGTGCTGTTAAGAATGGGCCCTGGATACTGAAATGCTGAAAAACAACTACTTCAACCAGCGACTCTTACTAGCTCTTCAAAATCAAATGTACTCTTAACAAATAACGTTATTTAACTCAGAATGATGAGTAATATGACCCCAACAGTCATAGTGTGTGTGTATATATATAATGATACAAAAGTTTAACAGAATAGTCCTTACTCTTACTATGTCCAGTACACTCTGATATGTCTGAAGTCTTATTTTAAGTGTGCTGGCTGTGACCCACCATAGTAATTGTTTTTTGTGTGTGAAGCACTGAGTTCACTGACTAGCACATAGTAATCTCTCAACCAATGCTAGGTGTTACTGAATTTAATTCATCTCTTGCTTTGCTTTCCTTGATACATCTACTTTGTGAGAAAAAATAATAGAACATCTTTCAGGTATTGTTTAAAAAAGATTTTTCAGTTAACTATTTCAGTTGCTTATTTGTCCTTATATGCCTTACCTTTATTGCTTTTAAGTCTGTTTTTTTTTTTTTTTTTGGAAAAATAACCTGAGCTATGTTAATACTAATGGTAAGCTCGTGTTTGCTATTTGCAGGGAATCCTTCCTGTGGATTATCTTAACAACACTGATATCTTCCAAGCAGAGAGCATGTTTACAAATGCAGTACAGATTCTTGAACAGTTCAAGGTAAAAAAAAAAAAATTTCAAAGGCACACATAAAAATGGACAATACTACAATTTAAAAATTGAATATATTAAGCAAAAATATATGTGTTTGATTTTGTGTTTTAACTATTTCTGATAATTTATCTTTTTTTTTTTTTTTTTTTTTGAGACAGAGTTTCCCTCTTGTTACCCAGGCTGGAGTGCAATGGCGCGATCTTGGCTCACCACAGCCTCCACCTCCTGGGTTCAAGCAATTCTCCTGCCTCAACCTCCTGAGTAGCTGGGACTACAGGCATGCACCACCAGGCCCAACTAATTTTTGTATTTTTAGTAGAGATGGGGTTTCACCCTGTTGACCAGGATGGTCTCAATCTCTTGACCTTGTGATCTGCCCGCCTCAGCCTCCCAAAGTGCTGGGATTATAGGCGTGAGCCACTGCTCCTGGCCCCTATAATTTATCTTTAAATTTTATGTATTTGACTTGTGTTTCACATTTCTAAAGTGTAGATTCTGTGGCTTAGTGTGAGGGCATAACATTTCTTTGAGGAGTGTCACTGAATGTAAGATTATCACATATGCTTTCAAAAACTACAAGTCAATTTTTAACTGTTAGAATTTGCCTCATAGAAGTAGTATCAGAGAGTGCAACATTTCTTGTCATTCCATGTACATTATGAGATTCCTTAAGAATTTAAAGACATGACCCTTTGACTAAAACCTTCTGTTATTCTTAATGCTTTTAAGAATGAGCGGTTTGGCTTGTTTTGTTTTCAGAGTTAAGGAAGTACAGTTTTAATTACCTTATAGTATGTTACTTTGCAAGATTGATATGTTTAATTTTCAGCTTATTGAGGTAGAAATTATTAAATTTTTCTTTAAATATTCATGAAATAATATAGTAACATAAAATTCCATTTATTTTCAAAGTGGTTAATCATCCCTAAAGAATCATTTTAGTGTGTGTTTATATTTCAAAATGAAATTCATTAATTTTTTTCTCATTTATAATATTTTCATACTCGGTTCCCAGGTGAAAATGACTCAGAAAAAAGAAGCTACTTTACCATTTTTGTTTACACCATTTAAGTAAGTCCCTTACATTTTTTTATTAACTTGAAGGAAATAATTTTTCACTGAGTTTGCAGTTTTTCACTGAGTGATAGGATTAGTTTACTTATACAGTTTGCCTTTTTGTATGCATTAGTGTAAACTCCAAATTGAAATCTTCTTCTATGACTGTTGTTAAATAATGGGCCGGATGCTAGATACCTCTGAATGGCTGGAAGAGGGGATGGGGGAATGGAGAGATCTATGAGAAATATTAAGGAGGTGAACTCCACAGGGCTTGATGTGTTGGCTAGGAAGGGGTGGGGGCAGGAAAGAGTATGACTTCCTGGTTCTTGGCTTGGTTGATTAGGAAGAGGCTGGTAACCTATGGCTTACTGAAAGAAGAACTAGTTTAAGAGACAAAGATGAATGCTACTAAATTCAACTTACATTTGAAGATATCAGTTAATTAATTAGAAAGATGGGCTTGGATCTCAGAAGGTGTGTGTTGCTTGTGAAGATTTTGAAAGCCATAAGAATAAAGATAGGCTGGGTGTGGTGGCTCATGCCTGTAATCCCAGCATTTTGAGAGACTGAGGCAGGCAGATCTCTTGAGCTCAGTAGTTCGAGACCAGCCTGGGCAACATGGTGAAATCCCGTCTCTACTGAAAATATAAAAATTAGCCTAGCATAGTGGTACATGCCTGTAGTCCCAGCTACTTGGGTGGCTGAGGCAGGAGAATTGCTTGAACCTGGGATGTGGAGGCTGCAGTAAGCCAAGATCATGTCACGGCACTCCAGCCTGGGTGACAGAGTGATACCCTGTCTTAAAAAAAAAAAAGCAATAAAGATTGTGGTGGTGGACTCTGTTACACAGGTAGGAGGCTCTGAATTCTGGGAGACATCAACTCCTATTGTGGGTGGGTGTATTAGAGTTCTCTGGAGGGCACAGGTAATAGGGTAGATGAATATATGAAGGGGGGAGTTTATTAAGGAATAATGACTCATATGATCACAAGGTGATGTCCCAGAAAAGGCTGTCTGCAATATGAAGAGCAAGGAAACCAGTCTGAGTCCCCAAACCTCAAAAGTAGGAAAGCCGTCAGTGCAGCCTTCAGTCTGTGGCCAAAGGCCCGAGAGCCCCTAGCAAACCACCAGTGTAAGTTCAAGAGTCCAAAAGCTGAAGAATTTGGAGTCCAATGTTCAAGGGTAGGTAGCATTTGACACAGGAGAAAAATGAAGCTGGAAGACTCAGAAAGTCTGTCCCTTCCACGTTCTTCTGCCTGCTTTATTCTAGCTGTGCTGGCAGCTGATTAGATGGTGCCCATCCAGATTGAGGGTGGGTCTGCTTCTCCTACTCCACTGACTCAAAAGTTAATCTCCTTTGGCAATACTTTCACAGACACACCCAAAAACAATACTTTGCCTCCTTCAATCAAGTTGATACTCAGTATTAACTATCACAATGGGCAAAGAAGAGAGCCGACTATGGTGAGCAGCATATTTTGCTGTCCCAGGTCCAGGAAGATATTTTCTTTGAATCAGGAAAGGGAAGATCTGGGTCACAGACCTGAAATCTGCACTACTGACTGTATATGTGAGCTTGCATCTCTGAGGTTCACATTCAATTAGCAAGGATTTTGCTATTGACCAATTAAATAGAAATTGTTTTATCTATGAGTTTTAAGGATGCAATTGAATGACTTCACTGGAATTATTTTTGACAACTTATGTTACACTAGTGTGATAGTCATAAATTAGAAAGGTACGAATAGAAAGTCATAAATAGTCATAAATTAGAAAGGTAGTCATAAATTAGAAAGGTGAGCCACTTGGGCATGGTGGCTCATGCCTGTAATCCCAGCACTTTGGGAGGCCGAGGAGGGCGGATCACAAGGTCAGCAGTTCAAGACCAGCTTGGTCAATATGGTGAAACCCCGTCTCTACTAAAAATACAAGAATTAGCTGAGTGTGGTGGCTGGTGTCTGTAGTTCCAGCTACTCAGGAGGCTGAGGCAGGAGAATCTCTTGAGCCTGGGAGGCGGAGGTTGTGGTGAGCCAAGATCGCACCACTGCACTCCAGCCTGGGCGACAGACAGAGACTTCATCTCAAAAAAAAAAAAAAAAAAGAAAGGCATAAATACTGTATTTATTGTATTACCCTCTGAAAAATATAGCTGTATACTTGAGTTTCTATGTGTGTATAGAAGTTACAATCACCCAAAATTGATTACTCTAAATGTATTGTTAGGATATTATTTGCATCTCTTATGCTAATTCTAATTTTCTTTTATTGTAGTATAGTAGAATTGAGATTTGTTAATGGAATTAGTTCTGAGGAATATGTAAGTGTTCATATGTTTTTCAAGAAATATTGATTGAATAGTATGTGTTTTGTGGATATAGCAGTGAACAGAATAGACAAAGGCTTTGCATTCATAGGGTTTATTTGCATGGTAGCAGCACAGGCAAACTATAACCAAATAAAGAAGTGAATAAGAAATACATTCGCAATTCATTTTATCACGAAAATACACAGGCTGTTGAAAGTGAGAATAAGTGAGGGTTACTTTAGACCAGCCACTTTAGAAAGGCTGGTTAGGAACCTGGCCAATGTGGTAAAACCCTGTCTCTGCCAAAAAATACAAAAATGAGCCAGGCATGGTGGCACCTCCCTGTAATCCCAGCTACTTGGGAGGCTGAAGCATGAGAATCACTTGAACCCGGGAGGCAGAGGTTGCAACAGTGAGCCAAGATCCCACCACTGCACTCCAGCCTGGGCAACAGAGCGAAACCCTGTTTCAAAAAAAAAAACAAAAAAGGAAAGGCTGGTTAGGGAAGGACTCTTGAGCAAGGGTTCAGGTACACACTGCCCCCACTTTTTCACTTGGTGTGGTAACTAATCATAACCCTCCCTTACTTTGATGTTCAGTATCTGCCTGCACATACATATTGAGAGGTACTACTAGCTTTGTGTCCTCTGCGGGCCTGGCAGGGTGGCTGACTTCCATGTGCTGGCTCACCCACCCTGGAGCAGAGTGGCCAGCCCTGCCTGTAGACCTGTCTGGCTAAAAATCACCACTTGTGATTTTTATAATCTGCAGTATGACCAAAAAGATCTAAGGTAATATGAGAAATGGACTCTTGAAGGCATATGAAATTCAAGGAACAGAACCAAGCCTAAAAACATTAAAATTCTCAAAATATTAAGGAACTATTACATCTATAAAACAAAAGCAGCATTAACGTTGCAAAATGCGGAAAGGGGTACCAGATGCATTAAAAGTAACTTTTACATTTAATAAAATAAATATTTCAAAAGAAGAATGCAGCAAAAATACTTAAAGATAAATTATACAAGAATGGTCCAAATGAGAGGCAGATTCTCTAAATTAGAATAGGAAGTGAGAAGACCTCAAGCTAAACAAAATGAATTTTAAGTAATAGATGGATTAGTAAGAAGCTGGAGGAAATTAAGGACATGATACGTGGGAAGATAGAAAGCATACATTTTTCTTCATGCTTCTCCCGCCAAAAAGACAATGACAATCAGAAACTTAAGGGAAAAAGAAACATTTCAAACTTTATAAGAAAGTTTGTTTCAAATGTGAAGCACCTTGTGGCATGATTTTGAACAGTTGCTAGGAGTGTGAGAAAGGGAATTCATTTGAGCATTGTTGCATAGATCAAGGCGCTAAATAGAGAAGATCCAATTATAGCATAAAACGTTGTTTTTTAGTGAACAGTATTTAAATAGTCATGATGATATAAATATTAGTGTTCAGCTTTTAGAGCCCAATCCTTGGACAAAGCAGGGAGGAATGAATTATGATTACAGAGTAGAATGCAAATGTTACCAGCCTTGAAAATGTGCAGATACAGTTAACAGGTTGGAAGGCAGGGAGGGAAGGAAATGTACATGGAATAGTAGTGGTGCTATTGTCTTCATGAAATAGAATATGGAGAATTTAATCTTTAGTTGAATTAGTCAGAGGTTTAGGTATTAGATTATTAAAGTAACCAAGGTCGTCAAAAGGGTAGGTAAAAATGTGACATAGCCAAATTGAGTCAGGCGGAGAGCCAGAGACAACAGGGAGTCAACAAAAAGTACCCCGTCATCAAGTCAAGAAATAGTAAGAAGAGCATGTTTTTTAAGAATGTAGGCAACTACCAGAATAACTAAAAACAAACACATGTAAAAGGTTTTGGTCTGTGTTGGTGAACTAAGAAATGAAAAAGAATTATTATGCCATTGTGTACTTTTTGATTTTTTAAAAATATGTGCATATGTTGTTTTGATAAAACATTTTTAAAAATATGGTTATCAAAATAAGTAGATATTCTAATCATTGGCACAAATTCAGTAGAATATGTAATTGGCAAAAGATACTATTCATAATAGAAATAAAATACCCAGCAATAAAATAATGAGAAATGTATATTGTAGAGAAAACTATCAAATTTTATTAAGGACATAAGAGACAATATAAATAAACAAATGTTGGATAGTACTGTTCAATATTATAAAAATGTCAATCCTCTCCACATTATTTACTGAATATAGTATTACAACAAAAGGATTTTTGTATAACTCAAAAACATAATTTTAAAATTTATATCAAAAATAAATTCTCAAGAATAGTTTAGTGTTGAGAAAGAAAACAAGATAAGAGATTTGCTCTGCTAGGTAACAAAACGCATTCTAAAGCTAATATAACTATTTAAAAATGTAATATTGGTGCAAGCTAATCATATGGGTTAGTGGAACTGATTAGTTTGTACATAAAGAGACGAGATTCACTTGTCTATAACATGCACCTGGACTTATGATGGGGTTATGTACAAATAAACCAACCCATCCTAAGTTGAAAATATTGTAAGTGCAAAATGGATTGAATACACCTAACCTACTGAACATCATAGCTTAGTCTAGCTTACCTTAAATGTGCTCATAACACTTGCATTAGCCTACAGTTGGTCAAAATCATCTAACAACATAAAGCCTATTATCTAATAAAGTATTGAATATCTCATGTAATT